TGTGTGTCCTATCCACTTCCAGCGCTTCTTCCGGATTTCTTCCTCCACTGGGAACGGGTTTGTTCTCTCCCACAGTACGTTGTTGCTAATAGTGTCCGGCCAACGGATCCGAAGTATTTTGCGTAGACAACTGTTAATAAACACCTGTATCTTCTGGATGATGGCTTTCGTAGTTCTCCAGGTTTCCGCCCCATACAGTAAAATTGTCTTGACATTTAGTATTGAAAATCCTGACCTTGGTGTTGGTTTCCAATTGTTTTGAGTTCCAGATGTTCTTCAGTTATAAATATGCTGCTCTTGCTTTACCGATCCGCACTTTCACATCTGCATCAGATCCACCGTGTTCATCAATGATGCTGCCCAAATATGTAAAGGTTTTTACATCTTCCAAATCTTCTCCGTCAATTTTGACTGGATTGGTGCATGCTGTGTTGTATCGCAGAATCTTGCTTTTCCCTTTGTGTATATTGAGACCTACTGCTACTGAGGCTGCTGCTACACTGTTCGTTTTCTCCTGTATTTGTTGTTGTGATTGCGATAGAAGGGCCAGATCATCTGCGAAGTCTAGATCATCCAACTGCATCCTAGATGTATATTGTATCCCACGTTTCCCTTCAGATGTTGACGTCTTTATGATCCAGTCGATCACTAGGAGAAAGAGAAAGGGTGATAGTAAGCAACCTTACCTGACACCGGTCTTTACCTCGAACGAAAGTGTCAATTGTCACACCACGGGATTACGGTTCAATTTCTCGTAGGTAGAGTTTTTGAGCGAATTACTACAGGTCGTGGGTTCTACATCATTCTGTGTGAAAGTGGATAGGCACTGTTGAGTAATTTAGATGGTGGTGGTGGTGGTAGTGTCGAGTCACCTAGACTGGTGGCAACATTGCAACATGATCGATAGCATTCGATCTGCACTAATAAGGACTAGACAAGCATGACATTGATCACCACCCAGTGATCAATCAATTGTGACTGTTGAGTGATCTCGTGCTAATACACAAACGCCATCCAGTGCTATCAGGTTTTTAATGGTTGTCTAACTTGGAGTAGTTCATGGTTTCAACGGTACTTCGTTATAGTTAAATGTTCGTCAGCCACGAAGACCCGCAATCATTTGTCTCTGTCTAACCGACATCCTCCTTGTCTCCCCTCCTCGATGATAAATTTAGACATTTTGATTTGGAGTTAAGTGACTCCACTTATATTATCACAGCCAATTAACGATCACACTTACTTCATTTGTATGGACAATACCAATTAACCGTTACAGTGGATTCCATCATACTCCTCTACATTCAAACAATTTTTTTATACACTAAAATAAATGACACTGTTTTGTTCATACTCAATAGTTTTTAAATTTCTCATTTAGTCAAAGATCCCTGGTTACTTACCTAATTACTTACTTACTTACCTGTTACCTCTCGTTGAGGAGCATAGGCCTCCCACCAGCACTCCCCATCCAATCCCGTCCTGGGCAACCCTTTCCAGTTGCTATTCATTCTTTTCATGTCTGCCTCAAGTTTTCGACGCAATATGTACTTCGGCCTTTCATTTGTCCGTTTCGCTTCCAAATTCCAAGTTAGAGCTTGCTTCGTGATGTAGTTTGATGTTTTCCGAAATGTATGACCTATCCACCTCTTTTTTTTTCCTAATTTTTTCCTCAGCCGGAAGCTGGTTTGTCCTCCCTTACAGTAGGCTGTTGCTGATGGTATCCGGCCACCAGACAATTCAGTATCTTACGTGGACAATTGTTTATAAATACTCGTACCTTTCTGATTTTGGTTGTAGTAGTTCTCCAAGTTTCAGCTCCGTACAGTAGGACTGTCTTGACATTCGCACTGAAGATTCAGATTTTGATGTTGGTTAACAGTTGTTTTGAGTTCCATATGTTCTTCAATAGTAGGAATGCGGCCCTTGCTTTGCCAATCTTCGCCATTACATCTGCATCGGATCCTTCTTGTTTAGCGATGATGCTGACCAGGTGCGTGAAAGATTTCACATCTTCCAGAGCTTCCCCGTCAAGTGTGATTGGGTTGGTACTCACTGTGTTGTATTTGAGGATCTTGCTTTTTCTCTTATGTATGTTGAGGCTTACTGATTCAGAGGCTGCTGCTAGTTGGTAATCCAATAAATATTGATGTAGATCGTTTCGTCAGTTTTCACTCATCTTTGATTCAATCGATTCCTTTTTTGTACAGGAAGATATATTGAGAGAAACATTCATTGGATATTCCGACCTGATTCGCTTAGTAAGATCTGATGACGACTGGTTACACCACGCACTGCCCCAGTCAGTGAATATTATATGATGAGTTTTTTTTAATATTAGGAACCCTCAAACATACATTAATGAATATTACAAACTACAAATCATTTGTCATGATCAATGAAAACATAATTCAAATTATTACAGAAAGTTCTGATTACAATAAACTGGTGGAAGTTTGTTTACATGAATATTGGTTAATTATCTAAATACACTGTGACAGTCATAAATCCAGTTAATCAAGACTTACTTTTTTAATCAAAGGCAACGAAAATTCCCAAGTATAGAGATATCTATTATATCTTATTGTATAAATTGACATTATGAGTTTGCATAGTCTTCACTATATTTACTCCTGAAACATGCCGTCCACGCATCCATAAGAATATGTACATTAACTTATGTAAACCATTTAATTTTTTCATGTCTTATCTGTCAATATTGTTAACATTTTTGTAATTTGACTCCTGGGATATCTGTAGTGTGATCGCTCAGATTGATATTCAATAAATGTATAAAATCAAAGTAGACTTGAATTACTCATTTCCGAAACCATTGAATGATACCGTGAGTCACGTGAATTCTGCTTGACTTTTTCGTGACAGGGTTACGAAGCGAACAAATATTATAAGCAGAGAAGGATGGTAGCTAACAGTCGAATACAGGAAGTAAGTTTTGTTTTATTTGGGACTTGTTAAATGGATGTACCTGCATTTCACAGTTGATGTTCACATAAGTTAGCTACTGAGTCCAGTTAGTCACTTGTTTGTGTAATGAAGTAAAGTTTAATTCATCTTCGTATTGGTTGTTTGAATTATCCTATTGATTTGGTATTATTTTACTTGAATCTTCCCATTGTTGTTTAGCACTGTAACTGATCAGTCTCTTATTAGTATATGTGCAAAGTGTGTGTATTGCCTTTATATTGCTTTAATTCACAAGCATTATATGCAAAGATGGATAGTGACTAGCAGTGGAATCCAAGACGCGCGTTTCATCTTTTTTAAGACTCATCAGCCGGGCGTACCTGCGTCTCAGAGTTTGTGTTCACACCGGGACTCGAACCGGGTACCGTTCGTTTCTAACACGAGCGCGTTATCCAATTAGCTACAAAGTCCTGACAACCACTTGCTTGTGCAATGCGGTGAAGTTTAGATTCAATTGGTATTGTTTTACTTGAATCTTCCGATTGATGTTTAGCACTGGCCCGGATTCCACTGCGAGGCACACTATCCATTTTCGCTTATCATCCTATTGATGTTCAGGACTATAATTGATCAGTCTCTTATTGGCATATATATGTATATCCTATGTGGATTGCCAATAAGAGACTGATCAATTAGCAGCTCTAAACGTCAGTGGGAAAACTCGGACAATCAATATATATATATATATGATCAATAAATTGTGATTACATCTCAATCCTACAGGAGGTCAGTGGTAACGTCTATGACTGTGAAGCTGGGTGACACGGGATCGAATCCATCGGGAAGCACCTGGTCCCTCAAGATTACAGGTACACCTTGCTGACGAGTGTCAAGTAGCACGAGACCCAGGTTCAAGGTTTCCTGTTGATAACCTGCAACCATCATCTTACCTAAACCTAAACTTTCTTCAAAATTTCTCCAACATCTTAGTAAGTAGGATTGTAAGTATAACTTCGACAATGTTTACAATCACTGAGAATTTTCGTTAAACAAAAGAAGGATAATTTTTATTTCAATTTACCATTTTATTTATCACGTATCAGTTAGTTCAATAGCAAAGTCTCCGTAAACCTATATTTTACACTTTTACATGATAAGATTTCTACTCTATAGACTAAGTAGTATCTAAATAGCTTAAAAACGTTATGAACTTCTAATGTTTAACAACATATATATGTGATGACTTTGATAGATTGTGGACTGTTTTTGAATAAGATTATCAAATGATAACCTAAGTGACTGGAGTCTGTTTACAAAATCAAATAAATTTGTGTCGAATCACAAGTTGAATTATTATTTACTGATAGTTAAGTTTCCCTTAGATGATATTGTGGAATTTTGTAGATTAACAGTGCTACATTTCAAGATCAGATTGCTTTGATCTCAATGCAAATTCACTATTCTTCCCGTGTAAACATACATGTTCTCGAACATCTTGCTTTAAACAGTTTGATATTGAAAAAATAATGTAGTATTATCTCAATATGCTACCAAAAACTAAACTATTTTCTCTAACTACAACTGTAGTTTAATGATTTGAACACAAGAGAAAATAAAGGAATACAAAAAATGGTACAAAGTTAGGAGACTTGAATAATACAATATCATTTCCAGATCATATAAACATTCAATGAGCCTTATAATAAGGAACTGGGACAAACCTATCATAGACAGATTTTGAAGTTGTACAACTAACTTGATATTATTTAGTCAGTAAGCCAATATGAAACTAATTTTTCCCAGCGTTCAGATAATAAGTAATTTAAAGCAAATGGTCTCTTTTATAAATTTCGATAGAACAATGAGAGGACAGAGTTGATCAGATCAACTTTGTCTTCTCATTGTTCTATCGAAATAAGTAATTTCTTAAAATATGTTTTATATATCCATTTAAGTACTCATAAGTAAGTCATTGTAGTTTATGAAGAATAACATAAGTTAATTTTCAGTCATACTTCTATTGGTCATTTTGATAACCAATTGAGGCTATTTATTCATATGTAAACCAAATACAAAGTAAAAATTGGCATAAAACAATTCGTAAAGGAAATATTACTCACAGATATTGACTGAATATGTATGGAAAAATAAACTCCAGGCCTAATTAACTTCAAAAAGAATTTAAACATTTTACAGAACATTGTGAAAGATTACCTATTAATTTATAAATTATTGAGCTGATGGGATTTTTAAAGAGTCTTGTTGAAGGACTGTTGGAATATGAAACACAGAAAGTGGTACAAATTCATTCAAAGAAAATTGGAGTCACATTTAGACTTATACAATTAGGAATTATTCTCTATGTTGTATTATGGGTGATGATCTATGAAAAAGGTTATCAATCATTTGATCAAGCAGTGAGTGGAGTGACTGCCAAATTGAAAGGTGTCGCTTTTGCCAACGTGACTAATAATCCATCACTTGGAGCCACTGTTTGGGATGCGGCTGATTATGTGATACCACCACAACAGAATTCAGCATTCTTTGTGATGACTAATTTGATTTATACACCTGGACAGACATTGGGACACTGTGAAGAATCGCACGATGTTTTTGGTAATAGTTGTCATAATGATTCACAATGTCACTCTGGACAGTTAGTTCAACGTGGTAGTGGGATACAAACAGGTAAATGTGTGAATTCTACAAGGCAAGCGAATTTACGTGTGTGTGAAATATATGGTTGGTGTCCTACAGAACACGGCGATATTGCGAGACCTCATTTATTATCATCAGCTGAAAATTTCACAGTAATACTGAAAAACAGTATCGAATTTCCACGTTATCGAATAAAGCGCAGAAATATACTTAAATGGATGAGCCGTTTATTTTTGAAAACTTGCTTATATAATCCAAATGATGATAAATTGAAATATTGCCCAATTTTCCGTCTCGGTGATATACTGAAATATTCTGATCCAGTAAACAAAGATATATGGGAGACTGGTGGTATGGTATCAATTCACATTGAATGGAATTGTAATCTAGATTTCGATGAGGAGAAGTGTTTACCGAAATATGTATTTCGTCGATTAGATGACTTTGAGAGTAATGTGGCGAATGGATGGAATTTTCGATTTAGTCAACATTACATTGATGGTGGTGTACGTAAACGTAATTTGATTAAAGCTTATGGTATCCAATTTTTCATAACAGTGTATGGAACTGGTGGTAAATTCAACATTTTAACATTTTCAATGAACTTTGGTTCTGGATTAGCACTACTCGGTATAGCAACAGTTCTATGTGATATGATTATATTGAATACAACAAGAAAACGTAGTGTATATCGAAAGGCTAAAATTGATTATATTGCTGAAAAACGCCGTAAACAACAAGAAGAAGAGCTGAAGAATAAGTGTAAAGAAAATGATTTTGATACAATGAAAAATAACGATAATAAAACGTTTGAATTGAAACTTTATCCCGGTAATTATCATCGTGACGAATTGAATACTGATAAACTGCGAATTTATGATCGAAATAGTTTATCAATCTATGATCCTGTTTCACACCCCATATGGGTAGATAATAATAATGAATGTAAAAAACGAGAAATGCGTAAATGTCATTTACTTATTTCAAAAAATGCTCAACTTTCTTTAGATCAACCAAGTTTTCTTGGATTTCATCATACTCCATCAACATCTTCATCACAAATTATCAACAATAAAAAAGAATCAAATAGTGAAAATAATTTAAAAAATCGAATAACTAATCCTTTAAATGAATGTTTCACTTCTATTCCTTATAGAAATGAGAATAATAATATCTCTTTTCTTAAAAAGAATACTACATCAATCAATGATCTTATTTACACTACAACTAAGCATTCAATACAAAATTCAAAATATATTCAATGTGATTTAAAGTCAACACAATTGTCAACATTTATGAAAGAGTCAACTTTGAAAGCTACTACTACTACTACTACTACTACTCATACTACTAATAATACTACCAATACTGAAATTGAATTATTAAAAACTATCTCAACATTACCAAAGTGTTGTACATCATTTATTAAACCAATAATTAATCCCCAACCAAATATTCTTATCTACCCAAGAAAATAGATTAGAGAAAGAAAAGAAAAGACAAAAAAAGGTCATACAATCTATTACATGTAAGAGGGTACAAATTGTGTTTTTTTGTTTTTCTTTTTGTTCATTAAATGATTCGTTATTCTGTTATAAGAAATGAAAAAGAAACGATTTGGAAGAGTTAAAGAATTTAATACACTTTGATCAGATACTTCAACAATGTTTCTATTTTTTTTTGTTTTTGTTCTTTTTTTTGCTTTTTGAAAAATGAATATTTATTTGAACGAGGAATATTCTTTTCCAATAATTTCTCATCGGGTTCTACAATTATCATATCCAAATTAATAATCCATAAAATTGACCAGGCTTAAAGCAGAGTACATTATTATCATTATTGTTATTATTACACTAGCTAACCTTTTTGAGAGATTTATTCAGTATCCACACCTATATGCTAATTCTTGCCTAATTCATATTATTCTATATATTACGTAATTTCTGATCTGTAATCACAACATTCTCTCTCTCTCTCTTACCCCATGTTGACCATATTTATTCTGATCATTATTTATCACACAATTTCATTTCACTTATAAATTGATTCAAGTTAACACTTCATATAAGTCAGCTACAACATTAACGATTTGACTTGATTTCTAATGACAAACAATCCTTAATTCACATGTTACAGTCTTAATTGATGTAGTCTACCTAAAAATTAGCCAATTTTATGGATTATTAATTTGGATATGATAATTGTAGAATCTGATGTAAAATTACTGAAAAGAATATTCTTTGTTCATATAATTGTATTTTAGTAAAATGGGAATAGTTCAGCGAATATTTATTCAATAATCAATGGTTTTATGATGTTTTTAATCATGTTTTCATCAACTGGGAAAAAAGCACACTTTTTATTACATAACTAAATATTTTATATTTTAAATGGTTCTTATTGTTGCTGTTTTTCTCCTTTTTTTCCTGCTTAACCTAATCTATCATAATGTGTTATTGAATAATCTTCAATTCGATTGTTTTTTAATCGAGAGAAAAACAAACAAACAAACAACTTCATTGTCTGTTTTACATCACCATAGTAACATACAAATATTTCTCAAGTTGTAAATTTTAATTTTTTTAATGAATGGACTTGACAAATATTAAATGTAACTATAATTCATAATGAATTAGGAATATGTAAATTATCATTAGCTTTGCTTCTATTTACTTTTTATTTTATGTCAACATATTCTATTTGGGATTTTTGGTTAATTATTTGTTGTTGTGTGTTCTTACAATGAAATAAACTATAGTTGATAAAACATAAAAGGTTTTTAAGTAAAGATGGATAGGTGGCGAGTAGTGCAATCCAGGATGTGCGTTTCATCCTATTCAGGACTCGTCCACTGGATGTATCCGCATCACAGATTTGATGTTCACTCTGGGACTCGAGATTATGAGTTATGGCTATATCGAAGCAATCCGTACAGGATGCATATATGCCAACAATAGACTGATCAATTGTAGTCCTAAATAACAATGGGAAACAACACTAGGTGAATATAAATGATTGTTTTTTCATAAACGTCACTTACTAAAACTCTATAATCATATTTCGATTTATTTGACATACATCATAGTCCATTAAGAAATAAAATGAAATTGTCATAGTTGTTTGAAAATATCAAAAATCGCGAAGTGTTTGTACAGTAATCTGAAGGCTAATAAAGAAAGTGATAAGATCAAGGTGGTCTGAAGATGAGAGATAATTATTCACTTGATGAATATAAAGAAGAAAATTACTGAATATAATAATAACAGTACCAGTTATGAGAAAAATCAGAAAATGTTGCTAAGTACGGAAAATAATAATTGAGGCTAATAAAACTGATGAACGAGGGAGTGAAAATGTTGTCGGAGCCTCTATGGCGTTAGAGATTAACACCATTGGACGCCTACTCAGCGCGATGCCGAGGGTCCTGGGGTCGAATCCCGCTAGCGAGATGGCGGATGCGGGTTGCTGAGGTCGCCCACACTAGGACTAAACGACCGTCCGGTGCTTCCAAGTTTTCTATGGTGGTCTAACATTAATTGACTCATGAATTCAACCATTAAATTTCTACAATCTCCACAAAATCCCTTTCTGATAAATCTCATTTTGTTAAGTTAAATCCATCTTCAATGTCATATTCCTATTTGTTATCACATTAAATTTTCATTATTCATGTTATATTTGAGTAGAAGTTTAATGTTTTTAGTTATCACTTTTATATTTTGTATTAACCTAACACAAAGTGAGCAGTAAGTTTCATTAGATCCTTTTCTAGAAGATGTTATTCACTTACTGTATTATTAAAATAAAATTACTTGACTTTCATACATTTAAGTGTTGTTTATATAACATAAATGAATGAAGTGTCATTTTCATCTGAAACTTTGGAGGAATCTGAAGCTATTTATTTCAGAAAATGACATCAATGCACAACCATTGAAGATCATAAAAATCTTTAAAGATGCTTTTACTTAAATTGGGGATCTTAATTAGTCTACATTCACAACTATGCACAAATTCGAAAAAAAAGTTTTCGATAAGTTGTGATGATATTCTTCCATCGAATGAGTGACCAGTGTTTTATTTTCACATAACTGTATGACACAATTCATATTGCAAATTAGATGTTTGTCTCATTTTTAACTCAAATAATAACAAGTCTGTATCTAGTTATACTACTAATCAGATTGCCATACAGTTTAAAACGTGTGGAATGTTGTCAAGTGGATTACATTGGAAATTCAATTACCAAATGGTTTAAATGAAATCGTGTTTGAGGCAATTAGTTTAAAATTGTATAAACTTCAATATAGTTTTCAAATGTTTTCAATGCTAACAAGTTATATCTCATCAAAATAATAACAATTATGAAGATAGATTTCATGAATGAAATTTACTTAGGTATTTTCAGTTTATAATTTAGATCGTTTTCTTAAAACTAAGAATCAACTGTTCAATTATAACCGATTCATGTACTAAGTAAGCTACCAAACTTATGTATAAGAACTTTCGTTTAAATTTGATCGAATCGTTTCATAGTATTTGAGCGTCAAGTTAATGTGAGACATTAAAGAGGAAGAATGTATTTGTAAAGTCTCAGAGAATGAATTTGAAGTATATTCGACATTTCACCTGGCAATCTGGCTCAAACTTTTTCAAGGAAATATAAACAAACATCAAAATGATCGAACAGCTTGAACCAAGTTGCCAGACGAAAGGTTGAATTTACTACAAATTCATTCACTGAGATTTTACAAATATATTCTTCTTCTTTAATGTACCAAACTTTACTTTTACTTTACTTACGCCTGTTACCCTCAATCGAGCATAGGCCGCCGATCAGCATTCTGCCACCCACTCTGTCCTGAGCCTTCCTTTCCAGTTCTGCCCAATTTTTGTTCATTCTTCTCATGTCTGTCTCCATTTCTCGGTGTAATGTGTTCTTTGGTCTCCTCTTCCTGATTTCTTCCTCCTCTGGGATCTGGTTTGTTCTCTCTCACAATAGGTTGTTGCTGATAGTGTCTGGCCAACAGACCCGAAGTATTTTGTGTAGACAACTGTTAATAAACGCTTGTATCTTCTGGATGATGGCTTTCATAGTTCTCTAAGTTTCCGCCCCATACAGTAAAACTGTCTTGACATTTGTATTGAAAATTCTGACTTTGATGTTAGTTGACAGTTGTTTTCAGTTCCAGATGTTCTTCAATTGTAAATATGTTGCTCTTGCTTTGTCGACCCGCTCCTTCACATCTGCATCTGATCCATCGTGTTCATCAATGATGTTGACCAGATATATAGAGTTTTTTACATTTTCCAAATCGTCTCCGTAAAATGTAATTCGATTGGTGCATGCTGTGTTGTATCGGGGAAATGTACCGAATTCATGATTTGTAAAATGAATACAGTGATTGTTTAATTAAAATGTCCCTTTATTTTCCTATTCATTTCTTATTTGAAACTCAATTATTATTGTTGTTCAATGCTCATTTTTATAAAAATCAATAATGTTAATCAATCATTCAAAAAAAATTTTTTTCATTGAAACTATCATCACAACTACATGATTCAATAAATCAGAAGAAAAAATTATATTGAATTGAATGAACCAGAAACCTTTTCTCCGAGTATTATTATCGCATGCATTGAAGAAATCTTTGTTTTCACATATGAGAATAATTTTTTTTAGAAAAAAACGGTGTGGATATTTTAGTCATTCCAATAGTTGAAATCATGAGTCAATTGATGTTAGACATTAACACCGTTGGATGCCGGTTCAGTGCTCGCTGAGATTGTCCCATACTAGAATGAAATGGTCGTCCAGTGGTACCAGGTTTCTCATGATGGTCTAGCTTGAATTGATTCATGATTTCAAATGTTGAAAATAAACAGTGGTTGATTCTTATCACTAGCTAACATTTGAGTAGAGTAATGTAGACGTTTTTCAGTAGTTTTTTGTTTACATTTTCAGTTAAAATTCTGTTATGAATAGATATAAATAATTAAAAAAGTGGCGTACTTAATTATTTGGGCTACCTGTTCCTGACATCTAAATGTTTCAGTAAGTTATCTGTTTCCCTGTTTTTTTTAACAAATCATTATGTTAATTATATAACCTATTTAGGTGTGTTTGTGAAATGTTTACGACCTTTCGTTGTACAAGTTATAAAAATGTGCAATCACAAACATCTTGATGGCTGGTAATATGAATTGAAAAGAATGAATATTATTTAGATGTCGACTTCTAAAATGATGATAACTAACTGGCAATCTCTCATTGTTGATCGTCGGGATCGATCAAGAAATAAGAAAAAGAAAACTTGTTGAAATACATTGTAAGATTAAACGACTATCTAATGCTTCCAGGTTTTCCATAGTGGTCTAGCTTTAATTGACTAATGATCTCAACTATTAGAAATACTTTGTATTGAGAATTCTATATGATACCAAAAATATAATATTGAATAAAGTTATTAATACTAAGAATAATTAACATTTAAGAAGAAATTTCTATGCTAAATTTGTATTGTTTAGTTGTTGTATTCTAATTTGTAATTTCTCAGCAGTTCCTATTCACGATCCTATAGAATGTTGTTATGATTTTATGTCCAGCTTTTATCAAGTGATCTATCTACCAATCAAAATACGACTTATACGATCTTGGCACTATGCCAAACCAATGACGTTCGATCGGTATGAGCAGCCTAGCGTCCTTATTGGTCCTATGTACGCCTAGCCAGTTCACTTGAGTCCAGAACAACAATACCAGCTTCTGCAATATGAATCATTTATTTCAAACATAATCGGTTTATATATCAACCAGACAGACCACAACTTACCATAAAATAGAAAATAACATGTGTACACAATAAAGCCAAAAAGTTGCTGTGAATGAGGTAGATAGTAATTAATAGACAGCCCATAACTCAAGAATGATAAATCATATAGTAACAGTCTATGGGTGAAATTAAAGCTTATAATAAGAAGAATATAAATATACATAATCTAATTGTTGAATAGTTACACCATAAGAATATATAGATAATATTAGTCAATTAATGTCTCAGAAGTTACTAGTGATTTAATCTTCGCTCGGATATAACAAATGTAATACATCAACTTTATTCAAATAATGATAGTGAACAACCATTATCGAATTATCTCTTTTACTCTATGCTTAGATGAACTTTATTGGTCATGATTTGTCTTAATATAATTAGTTGTTAGTTTTATAGCATTAATTATGAATTATAGCTCGTTTCTTCAAATGATCACTTACTTATGGAGTTAGAATTATGAACATTAATTATTTTAGGAATTTGTATTGTAGTTCAGTGTTAATTATAATGATCATGACTAGTGTTTAAGAAACTATTAGGGTAGATATTTGATTGTGACTTTTTCTGTGTATCTATTTCATATGAACAATATGAACAAGATTAAACTGAATGGTTTCAGCTAGTAAAACCTGCATTATTAATAGATCCTTCATAAAAATTGTTAAGAATAAAGTCAAGTTACACAATTAGTTAAATAATTTTCAAGAATGAGTCGAATAAACTTGATTAGTATAAAAGGCTTTAACAATTACGTTATGAACAGAATAAGAAAGTCTACAGATTGAATGAGTTAATCAGAACAAAGAAGTGTTTCTGGTACAATTCATCTGTACTGTAAGAAATTCCTAGTTTTTATTTGGATACACTCTATACAAAAACCAATCATACTTTACTCATCATTGAATAATCCAAATGAAAATCTTGTCCTGA